TAGACCTAAAACAATAAAACTCCTAAAAGAACACATAGGGGAAACGCTTCACAACATTGGATTTAGCAGTGATTTCTTGGATATGACACAAAGGCATAGGCAACAAAAGAAAAAACAGACAAATAGTACTTCATGAAAATATTAAAAATCTATGAATCAAAAGACAATATTAACAGAGGAAAAAAGACAACCCACAAAATGGGAGAAAACATTTGACAATTATATAGCTGATAAGGGATTAATATCCAAACTATACATAGAATTCCTGAAACTCAACAACAAAAAACAACTTGATTTAAAAATGGGTAAAAGGTTAGCCATAGTGGCTCATGCCTGTAATTCCAGTGCTTTGGGAGGCTGAGGCAGGAGGATCACTTGAGGCCAAGAGTTCACACCAGCCTGAGCAGCATAGCAAGGCCCTGTCTCTAGAAACGATAAAAAAAAAAAAATTAGCCACACATGGTGGCATGCACCTGTAGTCCCAGCTACTTGGGAGGCTGAGGTGGCAGGATTGCCTGAGCCCAGGAATTCAAGGCTACAGTGAGCTATGATCATACCACTGCACTCCAGCCTGGGAGACAGTGAGACCCTGTCTCTAAAAAGAAACAAAACAAAAGCAAAACTCAATGGACAGATTAGATGGACAGATTAGACACAGCTGAGGGCCGGGCATGGTGGCTCACGTCTGTAATCCCAGCATGATGGCTCACAGTTGAGGGCCAAGCATGGTGGGAGACAGTGAAACCCTGTCTCTAAAAAACAAAACAAAACAAAACAAAAAAACAAAAAAAAAACCCAAAACTCAGTGGCCAGATTAGATGGACAGATTAGACACAGTTGAGGGTCAGCCACAGTGGCTCACTTCTGTAACCCCAGAACTTTGGGAGGCTGAGGTGGGCAGATCAGCTGAGGTGAGGAGTTCAAGACCATCCTGGGCAACATGGTGAAACCCTGTCTCTACTAAAAATACAAAAAATTAGCTGGATGTGGTGGTACAAGCCTGTAGTCCCAGCTACTCAGGAGGCTGAGGCAGGAGAATCACTCAAACCAAGGAGGTAGAGGCTGTAGTGAGCCAAGATCACGCCATTGCACTCTAGCCTGGGCAACAGAGTGAGACTCCGTCTCAAAACAAAATAAAATATGGAAGGCATCCATACCTGCATTTTGCATTCTTCATATGTAATTATATTGCCAAAGACAAATTATGTCATCATCTATTGTAAATAACACTTTTTCCCAGACCTACCATAAAGTTTCTGCAATGTATTGTCTTCCAGTTACAATAAAAATTACTGAGTTGCATCAAAAATAAATAAATTAATTAATAGAATAAAATAAAGTAAACACAGTTGAGGAGAGAATTTTTTTCCTGGAAGCTAGATCTGAAGAAATCATTAGGGACAGAGATAAAGAGGTAGAAAGTAGGAAAGAGAAGTGTACTAGGCAGAATAATGTCCCCCAGAATTTGTCCACATCCTAATCTCTGGAACCTTAGGTTATATGGAAAAGGGGAGTTAAAGTTGCAGACGAAATTAAGGTTGTTAATTAGCTGACTTTGAGATTGGGAGATTATCCTGAATTATCCAAATAAACACAATGCAATCACAAAGGCTCTTATAAGCGGAAGAAGGAGAGAGAAACAAGTAAGATGAGATGAGATGCCTTGTGAGAAACATTGGCCTGATGTTGCTGGTTTTGAAGATGGAGAAGTAAAAATAATGAACCAAGAAATACAGGCAGTTTAAAAGCTGGAAAAGGCTGGGTGCAATGGCTCACGTCTATAATCCCAGCACTTTGGGACATCAAGGTTGGAGGATCACTTGAGGCCAGGAGTTGGAGACAAGGCTAGGCAACAAAGTGAGACCTCATTTCTACTTAAAAAAAAAAAAAATAGCCAAACTTGGTGGCTCACACCTGTGAGGTCCCAGCTACTTGGGAGGCTGAGACAGAAAGATCCCTTGAGCCCAGGAGGCCAAGGCTGCGGTGAGTTACGATTGCACCGCTGCACTTCAGCCTGGTCGACAGAGTGAAATCCTGTCTCAAAAAAAAAAAAAAAAAAAAAAAATCTGGAAAAGGCAAAGAAATGGATTCTCCTCTAGAACCTCCAGAAGGAATGTGGTCCTGCTGACACATTCATTTTAGCCCAGTAAAACCCATTTCAAACTTCTGACCCACAGAACAGTAAAATAACAAATTGTGTTTATTTAAGCCACTGGGTTTGTGATTTGTTACCATAGCAATAAGAGGCATGTAAGATAGAAGGAAACCATTCAACACATGTCTAATAAGAAAAATAGAGGAAGTGAAATATTTATAAATGTCTGAGAATTTTCCAGAATTGAAGAGACGAGTTTTCAGACTGAGGTATCTCACCAAGATCTGCACGCTGATCACGTATGAGCTATCTATAACCATATACGTTGTAGTAAAGTATCTAAGACTAAGATAAAGTCTCAAAAGCAGACTGAACCTCAAACATAGGCAAGAACAAGACAACCAGAACACTTTCCAGGAAGGTTACAAATGTCAGTGGTCAACCAATGCTATTAGTATTCAAAGTCGGGCTCTAGGTATGGCCTGTGCTGCTTTAATCTGGGCATTCGTGGGTCCCAGTACATGTTCAGAGAAGAATTTAGACAACGAAGATGGAAGGAAGCTGGTTCCACAGGAAAATATTTTCCTTCTACCTCCTTCTCAGTCTTCTGCTTCAAGGTAAGAAAGGAGCAACAATGGGGGAAGGGGGAAGAAGGAGGACCTCTCCCTAGTAGAACATTTGGGAACTTTTTTCAAATTTCCACCTCCTAGAGATTGTCTAAGATGAATAGAATTCTTTCATAGCTACATTACCATAATGCCCACATAGACTTTCCTTTTCTGAAAGACAGAAAATCCCCTTCCAGTTACATGCCACACAAGAGCACTTTTATTTTTCTTCTGGAAAAATAGAGTTCAACACCAGCACACTTTATCCATTTGCGTATGGATATCCAGTTTTCCCAACACTACTTGAAAAGTCTGTCTTTTCCCCAATGGTACTCTACGTGGAAGACAACCATCCACGATTGTCTTCTCTTGTATTTAGCTTCTATATCCATCCGTCTTTCTGTCCACAGGTGTAATTCTTTCTCTCTACAGGTATGAAACCCAAACCATTGTAGCAAAGTGCCCACCTCCTTTAGCCATAATTTCCCCAACCACCTACTGGATCCAAGGGCTCTAGATTAGGTAAGATGCCAGAAGGCAGCAGGTCAAGGGTGAAAGTAGAATGTGCTTCTCTTCCAGGGAGTCAGTATGGCAGAGAGACAAGAACATGGGATTTGGAGACAGATGGACCTGGGTTTGAATCTTCGTGTCTCACGTTGCTAGTTTTATAAACTTGGATGCACTGCTTAACTTCTCTGAGCTCTGGTTTCCTCATCTGTAAAACAGAACCTACCTTGCAGGGTTGTGAGGATTCAGTAAGAGATGGAGGGAAGCACGGTGCCTGGCACTTGGTAAGAGTGCCAATAAATGTCATCTCTCCTCCTTAGATTATTCCATGACTTTGGATAAGGAGGCACAGGAGAGGACTGAACCAGAGGTGACTTTAAAGGCCAGCATAGGGAAGAGACACAAACTGTACACCTGGTCTAGGCAGTGTAAATGGTTATGAAAGCCCCTCTGGGCACTTGCACACAGGGGTTGACAAATGAATATTCACTGTTCTTAGAGTGGTTTAAGAATTTGCCTGGAAAGCACTGTGACGTTGAGAATGGATAAGGCTCAATGTCCTTGGCACAGAGGTTATCAATCATCTCTCTCATTCCAAGTTCTTGCTCCTCCAACACATTTTCACGAGTAGAAAATTTTAAAATGTATTAGTTAGAAGAGGGTGAGATGGGCCAGGTGAGGTGGCTCACACCTGTAATCTCAGCACTTTAGGAGGCTGAGGCAGGTGGATCACCTGAGGTTAGGAGTTCAAGACCAGCCTGGCTAACATGGTGAAACTCCATCTCTACTAAAAATACAAAAACTAGCCTGATGTGGTGGCGATGCCTGTAATCCCAGTTACTTGGGAGGCTGAGGCAGAAGAATTGGTTGAACCTGGGAGGCAGAGATTGCAGTGAGCCAAGATCACGCCACTGCACTCCAGCCTGGGCGACAGAGTGAGAGTCATCTAAACAAAATTTTAAAATTTTAAAAAGAAATAATAAAAACAAAAAGCCCACCCACACTTCTAAAAATAGCTATTTGGCTGGGCATGGTGGCTCACACCTATAATTCCAGAACTTTGGGAGGCCCAGGTGGGAGAATCACTTGAGCCTAGGGGTTTCAGACCAGCCTGGGCAACATAGTGAGATCCCCGTCTCTACAAAAAAACATGTTTAAAAATTAGCCAAATGTGGGGGGAGTGCCTGTAGTCACAGTTACTTGGGAGGCTGAGGTGGGAAAATCCCCTAAGCCCAGAGGCCGAGGCTACAGTAATTATGCCACTGCACTCCAGCCTGGACAGCAGAGTGAGTAGCTGTCTCAAAAAAAAAAACTCCAAAACCCCAAACTAAGAAATATGCACAATTATTATATGTTCATTAAAAATAAAACACAACTTTTTAAAAGCCTCAAACTAGAATGCTGGTGATAGAGTTGGGTAAAGTCAAATAAGGAGAAGGAAGGTTGGGGCAGTCAGGGTGAAAACAGGTGTGTCCTCTCGGGGGCCCCGGGACTGTAATCCTATCAGATGACTATCAACATTCCAGGCTCAGTTTGCATACAGATTTGGGCATGCTTTGCATGGAGACAGAAATATTGGAAAGGAGGTTGGAGCTCTAACTCAGCTTGCCACATTAGCTTCCAGAATTTGCATTCCAGCTCACCCCATCCTCCCAGGCCTCGGAAGGAAGAGCCCAGCGTCTGGACCCCTCTCGGTGATCCCCTCCCCATTCTTCATCTCATCCCTGGAGACATATAGTACAGCAGCAGCAGATAAACCTGGGTTCAGAACAAATCTGGCTTCTGCCTTTTATTGGCTGTCTGACTGTAGGAAGTTACTTCCCCTTATTGCACCTTAGTTAGCTCGTTTATTACATGAGGGTAAAGCAGTATCTACCTGATGGGGATTGGGAGGATTAAATGAGGTAATCCATTTTTAAAGAGCTTAGAATATACCTGACACATAGCCAATGCTCAACAAATGTTAGCTCTCATTTTATCACAGGCGACCCCAGGCCCTGCCTTGGGGCCCCTCTCATATAGGGCGCACAGGGTTGCTCTCCTTCATCTCACACATTCGATGTCCACTACAGGAAGGGGCGTTACTTTCACCATCAAGTGCTCAGGGTTTGGCCAGCACGGGGCAGATCCCACTGCTCTGAATTCAGTGTTTAATAGAAAGGCCTTCCGACCGGTCACCATCAGCGTCCCCACCCGAGTCAACATCTCCTTCACGATGTCTGCGATCCCAGATGTGGTGAGTGCTGACCCCTCTAGCCCTCCTTGGTGTCCTTAACCTTTTCCCAGCCCCTGGCAAGGTGGTCCCCCAAAGCCCTTAGCCAGATTTCTGCTTCCTCCACCACTGCTGGATGGCATTTGCCTGGCATGGGGATCTCAAAGAAGCTCTGTCCAGTGCAGCAGGGTGAGGTATAGCAGCACGTGGAAGAGAATCTTTTCTTCTCACTCTGGCTACATACCAGTGACCAGGTTCTAATCCCAGAGGTTCTGATTGGATGAAACCCAAGCATCGTTTTTGTTTTGTTTTTGTTTTTGTTTTTTTGAGATGGAGTCTCACTCTTGCCCAGGCTGGAGTGCAACGGCATGATCTTGGCTCACTGCAACCTCCACCTCCTGGGCTCAAGCGATTCTCCTGCCTCAGCCTCCCGAATAGCTGGGATTTCAGGCATGCATCACAACGCCCGGCTAATTTTTGTATTTTGAGTAGAGACAGAATTTCACCATGTTGGCCAAGCTGGTCTCAAACTCCTGACCTCAAGTGATCTGCCTGTCTCGGCCTCCCAAAGTGCTGGGATTATAGGCATGAGCCACCGCACCCAGCCACATCAACATTTTCAAGCTTTCCGAGTTATTCTCATATACAGCCAAGGATGAGAAGGACTACTTTACCCCGCCCTGCTATGAACTCTCCTGTCCACAGCCTAATACGTCTGTTTTGATAGAGCTTTTGTCCTTGATCACATATCCCCTTTACATACCTCGGGAGTTGGTAAACAAGCATGGGAAGTGGGGGAGATGAACAGACTTCTTACTGGCAACACGATGGAAATAGGAAATTCTTTTGGCAGGATGAACAGCTGCACCTCTTGTCATCCTTCCTGTGGCTGGAAATGGTATGGACAACACTTTATTCTCTCCCTACAGTTACAGTCAAAAAGGATTTTAAACAAAGATATAATAATTATGAGTTTTTATGTCCCTAACATTGCTTTGAAACACACGAAGGAGAAATTGAAAAACTGACCATAATGATGAGGGGCTTTAATACACTGCTTTCAAAAATCAAGGAGAGGCTGGGCATCGTGGCTCACGCCTGTAATCCCAACACTTTGGGAGGCCAAGGCGGGCAGATCACTTGGGGTCAGGAGTTTGAGACCAACCTGGCCAACATGGTGAAACCCCATCTCTACTGAAAATACAAAAATTAGCTGGGCATGGTGGTGGGCGCCTGTAATCCCAGCTACTTGGAAGGCTGAAGCAGGAAAATCACTTGAATCCGGGAAGCAGAGGTTGCAGTGAGCCGAGATCGTGCCACTGTACTCTAGGCTGGGCGACAAAGTGAGACTCTATCTCAAAGACAAAGTGACAAAGTGAGACTCTATCTCAAAGACAAAACAAAACAAAACAAAAATCTAGGAGAAAAGGAGTAAATATATAGTGATTTTCACAGCACAATTAAGAAGCTTAGTCTAATAAACATGTCAAACTTTGTATCAATGAACATACAAAATTTTTGTCACACACATAAAGTATTCCCCAAAACTGACCACATATTTAACCACAAAAAGGTATCAACGCCAGGCAGAGTGGCACGTGCCTGTAATCCCAGCACTTTGGGAGGCCAAGATAGGTGGATTGCTTGAGCCCAGGAGTTTGAAGCCAGCCTGGGCAACATGGCAAAACCTCGTCTCTACAAAAAAATACAAAAATTACCTTGGTATGGTGTTTCACACCTGTAGTCCCAGCTACTGGGGAGGCTGAGATGGGAGGATCACTTGAGCCCGGGAGGTCAAGGCTGCAGTGAGCCATAATTGTGCCACTGCACTGTAGCCTGGGCAACAGAGTGAGACCCTATCTTTAAAAAAAAAAAAAAAAAAAAATTACAGCTTACACCTGTAATCCCAGCACTTTGGGAGGCCGAGGCCGGTGGATCACCTGAACTCAGGAGTTCAAGACCACCCTGGGCAATACGGTGAAATACCGTCTCTACTAAAATACAAAAAATTAGCCAGGCGTGGTGACACGTGCCTATAGTCCCAGCTACTCAGGAGGCTGAGGCACAAGAATCACTTGAGCTGGGGAGACAGAGGCTGCAGTTGGCCGAGCACCACTGTGCTCTAGCTTGGGCTACAGAGTGAGACTGCATCTCAAAAAAAAAAAAAGAAAGAAAGAAAACCTTGTTTCTTGAGAATTTAAAATTAAATTTCCAAATATTTGAGGCAAAGGAGAAATTAAAGCAATTAAGTAGAAATTATGAAGTAATTAGAAATGAAAATTATATATATGAAAATCTATGGAATGTAATCAAAGCATAACCCAGTGGAAAATTTATATCTTAATTGCATTGATAAGAAAACAAGGTATGCGGGAGGATGGGGGGAAATAAAAGTGAATGAATTGAGTTTTCAACCTGAAAAGCCTGCCTCATGGTTGGGCTTGGTGGTTCACGCCTATAATCCCAGCTCTTTGGGAGGCCTAGGCAGGTGGATCACTTGAGGTCAGGAGTTCAAGACCAGCCTGGCCAACATGGTGAAACTCCATCTCTACCAAAAATATAAAAAAATTAGCTGTGTGGTGACCAGGCGCGGTGGCTCACGCCTGTAATCCCAGCACTTTGGAAGGCCGAGGTGGACAGATCACGAGGTCAGGAGATCAAGACCATCCTGGCTAACACGGTGAAACCCCATCTCTACTAAAAATACAAAAAATTAGCAGGGTGTGGTGGTGGGCGCCTGTAGTCCCAGCTACTCGGGAGGCTGAGGCAGGAGAATGGCGCGAACCTGGGAGGCGGAGGTTGCAGTGAGCCGAGATTGCGCCACTGCACTCCAGCCTGGGTGACAGTGCAAGACTCCATCTCACAAAAAAAAAATAATAATAAAATAAAATAAAATAAATTAGTCAGGTGGCGGCACGCAGCTGTAATCCCAGCTACTCAAGAGGCTGAGGCAAGAGAATCGCTTGAACCCAGGAGGCAGAGGTTTTATATCTATATCAGTGAGCTGAGATCACGCCACTGCACTCCAGCCTGGGTGACAGTACAAGACTCCATCTCATAAAAAAAAAAATAATAAAATAAAATAAATTAGTCAGGTGGGGGCACGCACCTGTAATCCCAGCTACTCAAGAGGCTGAGGCAGGAGAATCGCTTGAACCCGGGAGGCAGAGGTTTTATATCTATATCAGTGAGCTGAGATCACGCCACTGCACTCCAGCCTGGGTGAGGGCGAGACTCCATCTCAAAAAATAAAAATA